ATAGTGTGCCTTTAAGGGTCAACACTCCCAAAAAATAAATAAACAAAGGAAATTAAATCTAAGAAAGCAGCAGAGCTACTCTTAAAACCTTATTTTTGATTAAGAAGTTTTATTAACGTTGCATATCTTGATAGCATTCTTTCAAATTCTCATTTAAAAAACATGTTCTTTGCTTGTATTATATATAGGACACTCAAGAGTTTTAACATATAGACAGATTACAAGTGAGGATTGGATGCTGCTACAAAGAACTGTTCTATAATTAATCCAATTAGTCCCGCTGGGGATTGTTTCATATTGAAAATGTCAGGTAGCATATGCATCAGATGGATGTTCTTTTTTAAACAAGATCTAGCTTCAGAATGAAAATTCTTCATAGATGGGTCAGAGTGATGATGACAGATGCTGAACTGGGACAAGAGGCTTCTGACTTTTCTTCTTCTAATTCCCACTGAAAATTATTACAGTTTAAGAGCTTGTGCTTTGATCCTTCCTTCACTTTCCCCCCCATAGACAATCAGACGATTTATAAACTGCTCCAAAATACCTAATAAGATTAATGTTTAGAAACATGCTAGATTCAACCAGCTGTGTATTTTTATTGTTTTTAAAGAATTTTTAATGACACGATGAAAATAAATATTTTTGGGTCATCCTGCTGTGTGCAGCTCTTATTTATTTATATAATTTGTGACAGTCTTTACTACTAATTGAATGATTTTAATTCGGTAGAAACTGATAAGCAGTTTGAGTTATCATTTGGGAATTTAAACCCTTACTTTTGCCCAAAGCCATTCGCTTATTTCCAAATCCAGGATGTTTTCTAATGATTAGAGGTTAAAACCTCAGAACAATAAATAAAAGCCACTTTGCTGGACTTATTTCTGTTACCTGTTGAAATTAGCTATGGGTCAGTTTTTACTAACTCATTCGTGCTTCTTCGTTAAAAACTAGCTTCCTCTAACAGACAAGTCTGAAGCCAAATATATATTGTTAATCTTTATTTAACAGGTGAAACTCTTTCAGGACAACTTTTATCCTGAAAAATTAGCAACAACAGCCATATTTCGTTTTCCTTTTAAATAAATATGCCTAAAGCTTTTTATGAGGTTTAAAGGGCAGGTTATCCTCCCGCAGCAGTGTGTCGCAGTTACCTTGTCGCAGGTATGACACAGATATTTTTGATTTATGCCCAATTTTGAAGCGTGGTCTGCACTATGTTATTCCACGCCACAACGCAAGAGGGACAATCAGGACAATCATCCAACGCCGAACATCACACAGTTCACCCGTGACTATTCCTGAAAGTCTGGGCACGGCACTGCGTGTTGTGGCTTCGGGTGCAAACCAACAGACCGTCGCACAGAGCTACAAACTAGCATCCTGTATGGTGTCTGGGATAGTGTCTGAGGTGTGCCAGTGCTAGTGTGGACAGCACTACTGCCAGTTTCTGCCATTAGGTACCAAAGGAAATACGCATAGGGCCGGATCTATCAAAGGTTTGCGTGTATAAAAACGTGAGCTATTTCACTGCGCACGCTAAAA